CGGGGGCGGCCAGGGAGGGGGCGGCGGCCAGGGTCACGTCGGGCATGCCCCTCGTACAGGAGGAGTGTTCGAAGTCGAAGAAGAAGAAGAAGAAGAAGAAAAATAAGATAACGAAGAAGAAGAAGAAGCAGCAAAGTATCTGGGGATGATCTGTCTGTCCCGTGTGTTTGATTCTGGGTGGAGCATGTTTGGACTATTTCTTGAGTTCGTCTTCCAAAGTCCGCCTGCAGGATGACATGCCCGACCTAAGGCTAGGGGAGGGGATATCATGGCGGGGGCCACGATATCTCCCCAGACCGCATGGCGCCTCCTCTTGTCTCAAGACGTCCCCAGCCCCCCTCCCCCTCTCGGCCGCGCACGTGCCGCCGGCCATGAGCTGCCCCCCCCCCCCCTTCTTGGACGCCCCCCCGAGAGGCAGCGCTCCTCGCTGTACGTGCCGTGGCAGACCATGCAGGTCGAGACGGCCACGGGCAGCGGCGCCTTCATCCGGCGCCGCTCCCCCCCGGCGCCCAGTCCCAGCTCCTCGAGCTCCCTGGACGCCGGCGAGCACGAGCGGGTGAGGACTGCGGAGCCGCCGTACTGGCATTGCAAGAAGGCCCCCCCCCCGCGGGGCCGCTGCGGGATGCCGTCGGAGGGGGCCAGGATTAGGTCGGGCCTGTCCCCCTACAGGGGGATTTTCGACGAAAAACAAAAAATACCCCAAGAAGGTCAAAAAATACTCAAGAAATAGTTCCTATATTATCCGTAAGGGCTTCGCCCCCTGCCGCCGGCCCCCTCTCTCGGAGAATGGGCCATGGAAGAGCTAAGTCATGAGGCCTTGGCGCTGTCGTGAAGCAGTATCGAAACTTCATGCGAAGCCGAGTCGCAATCAGCAAAACCAACTGATCACAAGAGGGGTTACCACACCTGGCGATTGGTAAGACGTGTATGGTTTAAGGGCTTGGTTACCACACCTTGCGATGAAAGGGCCGAGGGAGTTCTCGCAGTTTGGGTTACCACGCCTTGCGATGGATGTGCGTGATGGGTTCGAATTTCAGAAATGTGGCAAATCCCTGTGTTTTTGGACCCTGACCCCGCGGATCTGCGTGAGGGGTGGCACCGAATTTCAGAAATGTGGCAAATCCCTGTGTTTTTGGACCCTGACCCCGCGGATCTGCGTGAGGGGTGGCACCGAATTTCAGAAATGTGGCAAATCCCCTGTGTTTTTGGACCCTGACCCCGCGGATCTGCGTGAGGGGTGGCACCGAATTTCAGAAATGTGGCAAATCCCCTGTGTTTTTGGACCCTGACCCCGCGGATCTGCGTGAGGGGTGGCACCGAATTTCAGAAATGTGGCAAATCCCCAGTGTTTTTGGACCCTGACCCCGCGGATCTGCGTGAGGGGTGGCACCGAATTTCAGAAATGTGGCAAATCCCCTGTGTTTTTGGACCCTGACCCCGCGGATCTGCGTGAGGGGTGTCGATTTCGAGCCCCCCCAGCAATTCAGACAACGCGCCCAGGGGGTGCTAAAAATCCCGTTTGGGCCTCCCCCCCCTCGCGCGGTCAATCAACTAGTTACAGTAATCAGCAAGAAGTCAACTAGTTACAGTAACCAGCAAGAAGCAGAACTGTAACACTGGAAACTAGAAACTACAACTGGTACAGGAAACTGCGAATCACGGTCCTACAGCCTGGTGGCCCCACAAGGGGGCCGGCGGATTTTCGGATAATTTTTCTGATTATTTTTGGGTATTTTTTATTTTTCGACGAAAATCCCCCTGTAGGGGGACAGGCCCGACTTGAGGCCAGGACGAGGACAAATCCGTTCCGGAGCCTTCCGGCACGCTCTCGGAGCGTTCCGGAAGGCTTTGGGAAGGCCGCGGCGCCCGAACGACATCCTCGTATAGAGATCATTGATTTATTCTCACCCGATCCGATCGTAGAGATTATTGATTTAGAGATGATTGAATTTTCAGGGGAGGCTGCGAGCCGCCGGATCGTAGAGATTATTGATTTATTTGGGGAGGCTGCGAGCCGCCGGATCGTAGAGATTCTTCAGGCTTCCGCCACATCCGCCGACCCCTTGGATTTTCCCCGGGATCGTTCACCACAGCTTCCTTGCAAACCGTGGGAAAATGAGGTTGTTCAGGGCCCGTCACAGCGAGAAGGGGAGCCGACATGGGTCGCAAACTGGCCCAGAGGGCTTCCAGACGGCCCAAGCGAACTCCAAAACGGCACAGGGAGGTTTTTTGGGTTGTGTTTGGGGCCTTGCACGGGTGCCGGAGCCAGGGAAGTATGTTACACCCCGGAGACATCTTACGGTTGTCGGCGGTTTCCAAGCGGGATGTCCCGCTAACTGTTAATGTTCGGAGATGTTTGGGCTGACCTTGTCGATGGCAATGACGTCGTTGATGATCACGACACTGATGACGATGATCGGCTCCCTCTCCTCCTCTCCCCTCCCCCTGCTCCTCCCTCCTGCTCCTCTTTCTGCCTCTCCTCCTCTTCCTTCTCCTGCCCTTCCTCCTCCTCCTCCTCGTCCACGTCCTTCTTCCCTTCCCTTCCCCGCCTTCTTCTCCTCCTCCTTCTTGTCCTTCTCCTGCTGTTCCTCCTCCCGCCCTTCGTCCCTCTCCTCCTCCTCCTCCTCCTCCTCCTCCTCCTCCTCCTCCTCCTCCTCCTCCTCCCCCGCCTTCTCCTCCTCCTTATCCCCCTTCCCTTCCCGGCCTTCTCCTCCTCTTCCTCCCCCTCCTTGTCCTCTTCCTCCTCCTCCTTCTCCTCCTCCTGCTCCTCCTCCCCCCCCCCTCCTTCTCCTGTCGCGGGGCCCTCGTGGAGGCTTCTTGGACCGTCTTGGTGCGGTATTGGGAGGCTCTCGGGCCGCCCTGGAGCGCCCCAGAAGGCGCACGTACGAAAAATACACGTTTTACGAAGAGAACGGGCGATTTTATACAGCGAGAGGCCCTCCAGGGGCGCATAGTGAAAGCCTCGTAGGGCGTCTTGGGGGGCCTCTGCAGCCGTCGGGGGGCCGTCGTCAGCGTTTTGGATCGCTCTTGGACCGTCGAGGACCATGTGGAGCTCTCGTCGAGGCCGCTCGGACCGCTCCTGGAGCGCTCTCGGAGCCGTTTTCGGAGCCCTTTTTGGGTAGTCTTGGACGTGTGTTTGCGCGTTTGGGGGCCCTCGAGGGCTCTGTGGGAACCTTCTTGGGGGCGTCTTGGGCCGTCTGGGAGCGGGTTTGGGTGGCCCTGGGGCCGTCCAGGAGCGGGGGACACCCCAAAAGGCGCACGTGTGAAACAATATACGTTTGACGAAGGAAACGAAGGATCTTTTGCGTCTAGAGGCCCTCTGTGGGCGCATCGTGGATGCCTCTTGGGGCGTCTTGGGGGCCTCTTCAGCCGTTTGGAGGCCGTCGTCAGCGTTTTTGATCGCCCTTGGACGGTCGAGGACCATGTGGAGCTCTCTTCGAGGCCACTCGGACCGCTCCTGGAGCGCTCTCGGAGCCGTTTTCGGAGCCCTTCTGGGCCGTCTTGGACGTGTGTTGGCGCGTCTTGGGGCCCTCGAGGGCTATGTACGGACCCTCTTGGAGGCGTCTTGGACCGTCTGGGAGCGGGTTTGGGGGGCTCTGGGGCCGTGCAGGAGCGGGGGTCACCCTCAAAGGCGCACGTGTGAAACAATATACGTTTTACGAAGGAAACAAACGATTTGTTGCGTCTAGAGGGCCTCTTGGGGGGAATCTTGGATGCCTGTGGGGGCGTCTGGGGAGGCCTCGTGAGCCGTCGGGAGGTCGTCGTCGATGTTTCTGATCGCTCTTGGACCGTCTGGGACCATGTGGAGCTTCGGGGAGGCAACTCGGAGCGCTCCTGGAACGCTCTTGGGGCCGTTTTCGGAGCCCTCTTGGGCCGTCTTGGACGCCTGTTGGCCCATCTTGGGCCCTCTAGGGGTCTGTGGGGGACCCTCTGCGAGGCTTCTGGGGCCGTCTGGGAGCGGGTTTGGGAGCCTCTTGGGCCGTCGGGGAGCATCGGAAAGATCCAAAGCTGAATTTTTTAAATGTACATTTCACGAAGGGAATGGCCCAATTTTGGCATCTAGGGACCCTTGTGGAACGCATCTCGGAGGCCCTCGGGGGAGCTCGTGGGGACCTCTTCTGCCGTCGAGGACGCCTCGTGGCCCGTCTTCGGGCAAACTTGGACGTTTTGGAGCGCTCGTGGGGCGTCCCAAATCCATTTCGAAGCCACCAGACGCGCCCCTACACGAATGTCATGTGTTTTTTTCCACGTTTTTCGTCACCCCCAAAAGCGCACGTGTGAACAAATGTACGTTTTACGAAGGAATCAAGCGATTTTTTGCGTCTAGAGGGCCTCTTGGGGGGAATCTTGGATGCCTGTGGGGGCGTCTGGGGAGGCCTCGTGAGCCGTCGGGAGGTCGTCGATGTTTCTGATCGCTCTTGGACCGTCTGGGACCATGTGGAGCTTCGGGGAAGCAACTCGGAGCGCTCCTGAAACGCTTTTGGGGCCGTTTTCGGAGCCCTCTTGGGCCGTCTTGGACGCCTGTTGGCCCATCTTGGGCCCTCTAGGGGTCTGTGGGGGACCCTCTGCGAGGCTTCTGGGGCCGTCTGGGAGCGGGTTTCGGAGCCTCTTGGGCCGTCGGGGAGCATCGGAAAGATCCAAAGCTGAATTTTTGTAAAATGTGCATTTCACGAAAGGGAATGGCCCAATTTTGGCATCTAGGGACCCTTGTGGAACGCATCTCGGAGGCCCTCGGGGGAGCTCGTGGGGACCTCTTCTGCCGTCGAGGACGCCTCGTGGCCCGTCTTCGGGCAAACTTGGACGTCTTGGAGCGCTCGTGGGGCGTCCCAAACCCATTTCGAGGCCACCAGACGCGTCCCTACACGAATTTCACGTGTTTTTCCACGTTTTTCGGGAGCGGATGAGACCTCCGGGGGGTTCCGGCCCGTCCGGCCGGACCCCCCCCCCCCTCCAAATGGACCGGACCGGGCTCCCGGGGGAGGGGTTTGGGGAGGGGGAACATCTCACACGCCGATGAACCCCAAGGGGTCGGCGGATTATTGATTTCTTCTCACCCGATGTTACCCTCGTCCTGGCTTCGTCTTCTGCCGCCGCGGGGGCCGGGTGGCCACCGCCGCAGCCGCCGCCCCCCGGCTTGCGGCAACGGCTGTAGCATCGAGGGTCGGAGATCGAAGCTTTGGTCTTCTGGGAGCCTCTGGAGGCCTCCGTGGACCTCCCGGGCGCTCCGCCCCCGACAGCGATTGCAGGATCGAGGATCACGTGTGATCTCTTCGGGATTTGGACCCTTTCCTAGGGGGACAAAAAGTGACATAAGCATAAAAACTCGGAGGTCCCCGCGGATTTCTGGGATCGGCGCTGGGGCCCCCCGGCGGCGCCTCCGGCGCCGCCCCTGGCGCGGTCCGCGCGCCAGGGAGGGGGGTCTAGCGCCGATCCGAGAAATCCGCGCGGACCTCCGAGTTGTTATGTTTATGCCACGTTTTGTTTCCCTATTTACGGCCTCCTTCATGGTCTCCCCTCCCGTATCTTTTCTGGTACATATCCCTTGCAGTCAGCCCGCATAGTAAGGATGGGCAACCTTCCCAAGGGTACCATCGCATCCTTGCCTCCTCGGTCCAGCCTTCGTCACTCTCGTTGGCCGCGCCCCGCTCGAAAAGCTTCGAAATGGGCGTCCAAGGCCCTTGCATCCTTATCGCGCATCCTTATGATATGGGCCGACATTATGGTCTGCGTTGTGGTCTCCCTTTTTGGTACTCTCGGGAGCCACCGCCTCAGATGTGACCAGCGAAGCTTTGGGAGCGGCGAGAGGAACGAAAAGAATATGATTATACTTCTCTCATCGTTTTCTACAGTACTCCGTATAGTCACCTCCGCAGTTTTCCTTGGCATCGCTCGGACGTGCGCATGTTTGGTCGGCAGGGACCATCGAGGAGCATTTCAGGTCATCCTGCGAAAAATGTACGCACGAAACCGGCACCGGCAAACGCACGGGGAATGGACGTCCGAGCGGTGGCGAGCATTCACCTCTCATCGCTTTCGGTAGTACTCTGTACAATGGCCGCCTCCGCGTTGTTTACATCCCCGTGAAAAAAGTTATAGCAAAAGTGGTACGGGGATGTAAGCCAAAACGATGTTGAATCAGACCAGGCGGGGCCCGTCGCATCAAGTGACGTCCGCCTGTCAACGTTACGGAAGAACGTCTCGTCTGCACCGCGCGGTGCATGTCAGCCGTCCGACTTTGGGAACGAAAGCGCAAGGCAAAACGTGAAACCGCCCACGCCGGCGGCCCAATGAAGGATGATCTTGGAAGAGAACCCGGGCGTTAAGTGGCATCCGCCTCCCAATGTTGCCAACGGGCGCGCAAGCCAAAGCAAAACATATCGATGAGTTGGCCCATGGTGCGCGCTTGCGCACGCTGCCAACATTGGAAGGCGAGTCTCACTGAATGATCCTCTTTAGGCACTGCCGTCTGTAGACCATTCAAGATGATCGTCTGGTTGATTTTGTTATAATTTTTCCCGGCTGTCTAGAGTGAAGTCGGGCCTGTCCCCCTACAGGGGGGTTCTCGGCGAAAAAAAAAAATACACCGAAAGTAATCCCGAAATAGTTCAAAAATAGTCGGGGGATTATTTTGGGTGTATTTTCGGGCTTTTTTTGTGCAGTTTTGGGCTATTTTCTGTTTTTCGTCGAAAATCCCCCTGTAGGGGGACACGCCCGCCATATGTCTAGAGAGCTGTTTAAGGGGGTCTTCTGCCGCCCAGGGGCGTAGTTGCGGCACTTTTTTTTGGGGGGGGGGGGTTTGAGAGCCTCGGGGGAGGGGGGGCCTCGATGCGTGCCGCCCAGGGGCGTAGTTCTGGCACTTTTTTAGGGGGGGGGTCTCTGAGAGCCTCGGGGGAGGGGGGCCCTCGATGCGGCCGAGGTACGAGATCGAGGTCGTTTCGGGGAGGGTGCCCTGATGTTCTTCGTGCTTGTTGGCTGTTTTCGTGCATCCTGGGAAGGGTACCCATCGGGGGCTCTTCCTTTTGGCCGGTGGAGGGTCTCGTGTTCTTGAAGCACACTCTTCTGTCTTGGGTCCGAGTGTACTGTCTTCCTCGTCCTGAATGCGTGCGTGCATCAGCTGTTCGATGCGCAGCCGCCGAGGCTGAATTGTGGGTATAGGAGCACGGTCGGACCGAGGTCTAAAATCGAGGAGGTCGTTTCGGGGATGGTACCCTCATGTTCTTCGTGTTTCTCGGACGTTCTTGCGAATCCTGGGGAAGGGTTCCCTCGCCCGAGGCCCTCGAGTGCTTTTTGTTTTGGCCAGCGGATGGTCTTTTGTTATTGAAGCGTGTTCTTTTGTCCTAGGTCCGATTGTACATATTGTCTTCCTCGTCCTGCATGCGTGCATGCATACGTTGTTCGGTCCGCAGCCGCCGAGGCTGCAGTCGACAAGTTCTGAGACCCTGCAGAGAAATTCTGAGACCATGCAGAGAAAACAGACGGCGCAGTCAAAGATCGATCCTTGCCCGTCTTCCAGCTCATCCTCCTACCCCTCCCCCTCATGACCTCCCCGCTCCTCTCCTCCCCCCTCGTCCATCCTCCCGCCTCCTTCCTCCCACTTCTCATCCCCCTCCTCTCTCGATCGTTCGCTGCCTGAAGGGTTACTTCACCCTTGGCGGCTGAACAGCACAAACAGCTTTTTAGAAGATTGAAGAGATCACTAAACAGAGCACACTAGAAAATGACAAACCGTGTGGAGAGTATTCTGGAGAGTTCTGAAAATAGTACCAAGGGAGACCTGGCGGGAGACCATAATGAGACCACCACGAATGATGCCATGAGGCAAACCATCCAAGAGACCATACGGGAGGCCAGTCATGAGACCATACGCGAGACCATAGGATGAGCCATACTGGAGACTCGAATGGAGACCTTTTGAGGGAGACCACACGGGAAGCCGGAAGGGAGACCGCGCGGGAGACAACACAGGAGACCGTGCGGGAGACCACGTGGGGAGATCATACGGAATATCTGTACGGGAGACCCGCACGAGAGACCATGGGTCGGCGGCGAGCGAGGGGGGGAATTGAGAAGGAGAGGGCTTTCTCAGAAGGCGGCGGGACTTCTCAGAAGCCCTCGCGCCTTCTGAGAGGTTTTTTATGTATTCGGGGAAGGCTTAGAAAACTTCTCAGGAGTCCGGGGGACTTTCGAGCCTTCTGAGCAGGTACGCCCCTTCTCACTTCCCCCCCCTGGCTCGCCGCCCAATCGGGGAGACCCCACGCAAGATGGACCCTACGGGACAGACCATGCGGTTCCACACGGGAGGCTACGGGCGCAGGAGCTGCCGAGTCCAGATCCAGGCCCGGAGGCGCTCGCACGTGCCTGGGGATCCTGTCCTCTGGCCCAGGATCCTGGGTGTCCCCCTCCTTGAAGCGTGCCGCTCCTGCAGGAGCGGCACGCTTCAAGGAGGGGGACACCGAGGATGAGGATACCGAGGAGAAGGAGGAGGAGGAGGAGGAGGAGGAGGAGGTGGAGGAGGAGGAGGAGGAGGAGGCAGAGGAGACCGAGGAGGGGAAGAGGATACCGAGGAGGAGGAGGAGGAGGAGGAGGAGGAGGAGGAGGAGGAGGAGGAGGAGGAGGAGGAGGACTTGCTGAACTCCGCTCCCCAGTGCCCTGCTTTGCCCTCGGGTCCACGGGTCTCTGAGAGCTCCCGGGGGCTCACTGCGGCTGCAGGTGCCTCCGATCTGGCGCCAGGAGTCTCCCCAGGAGGCGGTCCGGAGCGCCCCCTCCCGATCCTCCCTCCCTCCGTCTCGCGCCCCTCCCTGCCGCTCTTGCGGCCCCTCCGCCTCCCTGCATCCATCTCCTCCGTCCTCCTCCCCTCCCCCCCCTCCCTCGCACCTCCTCCTCCCATCTCCCTCGCCCCTCCTCGTCCCTCCATCCCGCCCCTCACTCCACCCTCCTCGCCCTCCCCTCTCCCCTCCCCCCACCTCCTCCGCACGCAGTCGGCTCTGCTTGGTCGGTCGACCATGCCAAATCGAGGTTGCCCGACCTATGCAACCCGCATGTCCCTTCGGTGTTCTGGGGCCACGTTGCCGTCGGAAGCGCCTTGTGCACGCGAGGGTGTCCTATCCAATCGGGTCCGACTGTATTTCCCCCATCCTCCCACTCCACCTTCGCATCCCTCCGTTCCTCCACCCCCCACACCGCAGCTCTTCTCCGGCCTGAGTCGCTGAGCGCGTTCCATTACTCGCAGAGTGCCTAGTCGCGAATTTCCGGAAAGTACATGTTTGCCTCCGATGTAATGGATCCCAGACCCTTCGCGGCGGAGCCAGAGCATTTGCAAGTAGTTTCTTCGCGAGTACAGTCAGCCTTGATTAGTAGGTCGACCCTGCCAAATCAAGGGTACACTTGTGTTCTGTCTTTAGAGACCTGTGCCCTGTACTTTCCTGTGGCAATGTGTCCCTCGGAAGGGTCTTGTGTCCTCTCGCGTGTCCTCCCCAATCAAGCCCGACTGTAGTGGATCGCGCTTGTCTATCTCTTCTCTCCGGCATGAGGTCGAGGAGGCCCTGCCCCACGCCCGCGGCGACCTGATCCTCACCGCGGCGCACGTGGTGGCGGACGCGCGCGACATCCGCGTGCAGCTGTTCCGCTCGGAGAGCAACGGCTCCAGCGGGAGGTACGTGGCCAGAGTAGGCCGCGCTCCGCCCACCTCGCTCCCCGCTCCTCCTCCTCCTCCTCCTCCTCCTCCTCCTTCTCCTCATTCTCCTCTCCTCCTCCTAATTACTCCTGCTTTTCCTCCTCCTCCTCCTCATTCTCCTCCTCCTCCTCCTCCTCCTCCTCCTCCTCCTCCTCCTCCTCTTCCTCCTCCTCCTCCATCGTCCTCCAGTTGCTCATTTTCCTCCTTTCCCTCCTCCTCTTCCTCCTCCTCCTCCCCTCCTTCTCGTCCTCCACTTCCTCCGCCTCCTCCTCCTCCGCCTCCTCTTCCTCCTCCTCCTCCTCGGCCTCCGCCCCCGCCTCCGCGTCCTCCTCCTCCTCCTTCTCCTCCTCCTCCTCCTCCTCCTCTTCCTCCTCCTCCCTCTTCCTCCTCCACCTCCTCCTCCTCCGCCTCCTCCTTTTCTTCGTCGTCGTCCTCCTCCTCCTCCTCCTCCTCCTCCTCCTCCTCCGCCCTTCCCCCTCTTCCTCCTCGGTTTCCTCCTCCTGCTCCTTCTCTCCCTCCTCCCTCGTCCTCCTGTGTTCCTTTTTTCCTCCTCCTCCTCCTCCTCCTCCTCCTCCTCCTCCTCCTCCTCCTCCTCCTCCTCCTCCTCATCTTTCTCCTCCTCCTCCTCCTCCTCCTCCTCCTCCTCCTCCTCCTCCTCTTCGTCCTCCTCCTCCTCCTCCCCGTTCTGGCGCAGGCCTTTGTGGCTCTGCGCTTGCAAGCACGTGCCTCAGAGCGGCTCGTGTTTGCGAGCCACTTTGGTTTCAACGCTCGCCCCTGTCGCCGCCGCCAGCGACGCATGGGGCCCCCGCCCGACGTCCTCCCTGAGGCCAAGACGCCCTTGTGGGGGTGCCCCTCGTGCGGCTGCTGGGACAACTGGGCCTCGCGGCCTCAGCGCATGGCGGCGGCGGCGGAGCGGGAGGGGATGCGCAGGCCGAGCTCATCCGCGAGCTACAGTCGAAGGTGGCCTCGCTCGAGGGCAATGCGCCGCCCTGGGCGGTCAGGCATCCGCCCTCCCAGGCGTCTGCCAGCACGAAGGAGCTCTCGTTCGCGGACGTGCTGCAGTTCCTCAAGCGTGAGGGTGTGGACACGGCAAGTGTCGTGGAGGCGGAGAAAGTCAAGCAGGCGTCTGCAGCGGCCAAGGGCCATTCGGCGCCGTCCGCGCGGTGGAAGGTCGAGAACTTCCATGCGAAGCTGGCCAAGCTCAGGAAGGGTCCGGTTCGGGCCGGTTCGGGCCGGTTCGGCGGCGGGCCGGTTCGGTTGCACCAGTTCGGTTTTCGGCGCCGGTCCGATTTGAGCCGGTCCGGTTTGGCGAGTCCGGTCGGTTCTGCCGGTTCGGGTCGGGCGGCGGGCCGGTTTTGGGCGGTTCGGTTCGGGGGTCGTCGACCTCCGGGGGGGTCGTCGACCCTCGGGGGGGTCGTCGACCGGCGGGGGGGGGATCGCCGTTGAACAAAAAGCGAGGAGGAGGCCAGCGCCACCCCCCTCGTGGCCGAGGCCACCCACCCCGTGGCCGGGGCACACCCCCCCCGTGGCCGAGGCCACCACCCCCCGGAGGGAGCCTCCGAGGGAGCCTCCGAGGGAACCCCGAGGGCTCGAAAGGGGGGAGGGGCACGGGGGGTTGGCCCCCCACGGGGGGGGGTGGCCCCGGCCACGGGGGGGTGGCCCCGGCCAAGGGGGGGGTGGCCCCGGCCACGGGGGGGGTGGCCGGGGCCACGGGGGGTGGCCGGGCACAAGGGGGGTGGCCCTGGCCACGGGGGGGGTGGCCCCGGCCACGGGGGGGGTGGCGGGTGGACTGCTGGTGGGGTGGTTCCCGCGGGAACCCGGGTGCCCCAGAGGCGGCCCCCTGCCCTCGCGCGGGGGGGCCGCCGATGGGGCCCGCCCTCCCGCGGTCCGCCGCGCGCCCGACCCCTCCCCGCCCCCTCCCGGTCGTCGTCGTCGTCGTCGTCGTCGTCGTCGTCGTCGTCGTCGTCGTCGTCGTCCGCCGTCGTCCGCCGCCGTCGCCGTCGCGTCGCCGCCGTCGCCGTCGCCGTCGCCGTCGCGCGCGGCGCCCGCCAGGGGAGGAGGAGGAGGAGGCGGAGAAGGAGAGGAGGCGGAGGAGGAGGAAGGACGGAGGAGGAGGAGGAGGAGGAGGAGGAGGAGGAGGAGGAGGAGGAGGGAGGAGGGAGGAAGAGGAAGAGGAGGAGAAGGAGGAGGGGAGGAGGAGGAGGAGGAGGAGGAGGAGGAGGAGGAGGAGGAGGAGGAGGAGGAGGAAGGGAGGAGGAGGAGGTAGGACGGAGGAGGAAGCGGAGGAGGAGCGAGGAGGAAGAAGGAGGGAGGAGGCGGAGGAGGAGGAAGAGGACCCCGAGGGTCTTCGAGGGTTCCGCGGGTCTCCAGGGGGTCCGAGGGTGTCCAAGGATTTGCCTGGGGGGCCGGTTCGGTTCCAGCCGGTTCGGTTTGGGCGTCCGGGCCGGTTTCGCCTCGCCATTCGGTTCGACGCGGCCGGTCCGGTTCTGACCGGTTCGGTTTGGAGTCCGGTTCGCGCGGTTCGGTTCGTTCGGCCGCCGGTTCCCGGTTACCAGTTCGGTTCAGACCCTTCCTGCAAGCTGAACGCCAAGGCCAGGGCCCTCAGTGACCACCGGGAGGAGTTTGACAAGGCTCTGGCGGAGGTCACAGCGGCGGCCACGGCGCGTAAGGAGGAGCTGGCAAAGTCGGAGGCGGCCTGCGACTGCGTCGCGCTGTCCGCCGAGGGCCAGGCCGCGCTGGCCACGCTGGAGCGCCTCCAGCTGGCAGCTGCCCAGGCCAGGTCCGAGGCAGCGGCAGCTCCTGACGGCGCGCGCGGCGATGCCGTTGGCGTGGCAAACTCTGGCGCGGATGGCCCCCTGGCGGCGGCGGCGCCTCAGGAGAGGACCACCGCGCCGACCTGCCAGCCGACCCCGAGGACGTGGACATGAACTTGCTGGGAAGCGAGGAGTTCGCCGACCGCCAGCGCGCCTGCGCCGAGGCCGCCAACGAGCTCCGCCAAGCTCGAGAGGCAGAGCCTGCCGTGCTGGAGGCGGCCAAGCGCAAGTACTTGGACGCCGTGGCGGGCCTCGGCATCAAGCGGGCTCGGCGAGCGTCGCCATCCTAGCCCGACAGCCCTGCCGGCTGCCGGACGCTTCTGGGAGGCGAACCTTGTGGACGAGGGCTGGGCGGCGCTGGCGATCTTCGCCGTCCCAGCATGCTGGCCTGAGCGGGTGCCCGACCCTGGCTGGTTTGTCGGCTGCGGTGCCCGCGGGCCCTCCGAGCGCCGCGGGCCATCGGGCCGCCGTCGGCGCTCGGCTGCGGGAGCGCGCCGTTGCTGGCGGGGCAGCGTGAGCGGGGTCGCAGTCGACTGGGGGGGGCGGCGCGTTGGTCTGGGCGGGGCAGGGATCAGCTCTGGGAGCACCCAATTACCGCCCCCCCCCCCCGAGCGAGGAGCAACCGCGCGACCGCTCCAGCGTGATCGACCAGCTTGGCGGCGCGGGCGCGGCGCCGTGGCAGCTGCAGGCGAGAGGCGCAGGAGGGGGCGGCGAGGTTGGCGGTGGCGGGGTGCTGGGCCAGATCGAGCGGCCCCCTCTCGGATCGGAGCGGCCAGTCCAGCATCCTCTGGCGGAAGGGGGGCAGGATTCAGCCCTGCAGCGTCACAGCCCCCCCCCCCCTTGCCGCCGCCTGCCTCGGCGACGGCAAGGGCGGCCGCTGCGACCGCGGGCTCGGCAGGGTCGGCGGCGGCAAGCAGTTCGCGATGTCCAGGGCGACCCTCATCGTCGACTGCCACGAGTGGATCGGCGAGGCCCCCGTCGTCGCTTGATTCGTCGGCGTCGGCGCGGCCCAGGGCTTCAATTCCGCAGCCGCCAACTTCGAGGCCTGAGACTTCACTGGCGCCGTCGGGCTCGTCGGGGCTGAGCGCGCATTCGCGCGAGCGTGACGGGCCTCGGAAGCAGGCCAGGACCCCCTCAGAGCACGGCCGCTCGCGCATCTTCGGGGTCAACGCGAACAGCTGGGAGTCCTCCAAGTCTGTGATAGACTGGTGCTCGGACCTGCCAGCTGCGCCTTTTGGCTAGGATGCTCGAGGGGTCGCGCTGCTGACGCAGGCGATCTGCGGGCAGGGGGCGCGCCTCAAGGCGAGTGCCAAGTGCCAGGCCAGATCAGGCCTACAGCTGGGGTCAGCTCAGGCAGTGGGCCTCGAGCTTGGGAGCTGCCGAATCGACGGAGAAAAGGGCTAAACATGAGCTTTGCTGGCGTGGTCATGGGAGTCGCACAGTCGATTGCTTCTTCTGCATGTTCGCCAGGTGGTATGAGTGACTTCCAGGCCAGGATCTCGGCCCGTCTGCTCAACGTTGGGCTTCCAGCAGGTCTCGTGGTCATCTCAGCGTACTTACACGCCAGCCTGGGTCTGAAATGGGCCAATATGGATATGCTTCGGCGGCTTGGGCAACGCGTCAACAGCATCCAGATGTCGTGGGTCATTCATGCAGATTGGAACTTCACCCCCTTCGATCTTGCTGCCAGCGGATGGCTGGATAGAGGGTGCGAAGCATGTTTTCGCCAAGCCAGCCCACCTGCAGGTCGGCTGCTGCCGGCGGAGCTGGCGGCGTCGGAGGCGGAGCCGAAGGGCCCGAGGGCCAGGGGGGCAAGGGGGCGGGGGGGAGGCATATTGACTTCTTTGTTGGCGCGCGCATGCTTGGGCACTGTGTCTCGGGTGTCAAGCGTTTCAGCGAGGCCCCCCATCTCCCCGCGCTCGCCCGCTCGCTTGTTCCTAGAGGGCCTCGCCAACACCAAATTAATCACTAAGCAGATCCACTTCAAGCGGTTTCCCTCGGCGCCTGTGGCGGGGCCCAAGAAGGAGCTGAAGGGGGGTGAGTGGTCTCGGGAGCTCGGGGGCCTCAGCGCCCCCCCCCCCCCGGGCTGCCAGGTTCACAGGAGCCGAAAACTGGCTGGTGGACTTTTTCGACGTCGACGGGAGTTCTCGGGGCGCCTACCGCGGGAGGGCCCAGGGGCCCAAGACGGTCAAGGCCGCGGGCACTCAGGCGGACCGCGGCGTGGATGTCCTTCCAGGCGTTGGCCACCCGTGCTGCTACAGTTCCAGGCTCGGTTGCCAGCTAGGCGCGCCAGGCAGGGCCCGACGTCAGCAATGGCTTGACAGACTCGGGGGCACGGCCCCCAGCTTGGCCCTGCCACGACGGCCAGCTGGACCAGCAGTTCGTTCTAGTCTCATCGGCTCCATCGAAGCCAGCGGCGCGAGGTGCACAGGGCATCTCCAGCATATTGGTAGGTACGTGGAGGAGTTGAGGAGGGTGGATGTTAAGGAGGGGCTCAGCAGGTGGCAGAAGTAGGCGAAGGAAGCGGTGGAGCACGGAGGGAAGGCTGCGCATGCGTACTCTCGCCAGGCTTTCACCGATCGCAGTTGCCAGTTTACGATCCCTACAGCAGATGTGGAATTACCTGTCAATGGGGGTGGGGCCGTGCAGGCTTTGGTGGGCCAGTGGATGCCCCTGGGGTTCCAGGACCGTAGAGCCTCGCATGAGCACCCGTCTCGATGGGGCACTAGAGGGGGCGCGCTCCCGAGGATAGAGTTGGACCGTCTCCTTCACGTATGCCGTGGGTATGCGGAGGGGGCTGGGCTTTGGTGGGGCTCCGTCCACCCGCAGCTCGTCTTGAAGTTGCCAGAGGCTTATCAAATTCGGATCTGGGGCATATTGCATGGGTTCGAGGAGGCCCCCGAGGTCCTGCCGGACCTGCTGACCAACATTCGTTTACTAGATAGGCCAGATGGAGGGGTCAGGCCGATCGGCCTCTTGGGCTGTTTCATGAGGGCGTGGGCATCCTGCTTCCTTTTCCTGGGGCGCAGGCCCCGGCGCATCGCGCGAGCGCGCAGGCTGGGCGCACAATCTGTTTGCGCACTTCGGTCTCAGCATGGGCGCGTCGACGGTGGCAGCACTGCTCGATCTTGAGAAATTCACGAGCACATCATGTTGACCTGTATCGAGCAGCGATGGAGCATCGCTTGAACTTGCGCCTGTTGCGAGGTCTGTGCGCGATGTACGCTGCCGAGAGAGTCTTGCACTATGGAGGGTGTGTCTCAGGGAAGGTCAAGGCGAATGGAGGCGCGATTGCAGGATGTACAGTAGCAACAACACTAGCAAGGCTTCTCCTCTTGAGTCCTCTGTCTTTGGCCCAGTTTGGTCGCCCGCAGCTGGCAATTCGCAACGCGATAGGCGACGTCGCGCTGCAGATCGTCGCCCCCTCTGATGCGGTCGTGGAATAGCTGGCTGTGAGGCGCGATGTCGCTGCTGGCCAGATTCAAGCATCTCGGGCTGCCAGAGTTAGCCAAGTCGAAGTACATGTGCAGCAGCGCCGATCTCGATGCGAAGCTGCAGCAGGCCCGCGATCTACCCCCAGTGCTCGTCACCTCTTCGAGGAACCTGGGGACTGGGTGCCTCGCTCGGAGCCAGTCGGAGGGTCGTGGTCACCAGGGCCAGGTGGGAAGGGGCGCGGAGACGATCGAGCAAGATGCGGCATCTCAGGCGGGCTGGGGCCAGCATTGTTTGGGTCCAGAGGGCGGGGCCAACGGCCTCGGCCTTGTGGGGGTCCTGCATCGTGGTGATCCCGCCGTCTCAGATGCAAGGGCTGCGTCTCAGCGCTTCAGGCAGGTTGGGTCGCGCGCCGAAGGGCGCGGCGGCCAGCCTTAGATTGCGCAGCTACAACGAAGGTCCCAGGGTAGACCCGCTGATCTTGAACATCGGCCAGGTGATTTTTCATGTGGGCGCAGGCTGTCTTGGAGTCCTTTCCCAAGCTAGGTGTTCTGCAGATATGCTTGGAAACGGCGCGGAGCATGATTTCGCGCTTGTCATCTCCGCGGGCGTCGGCAGCGTCACCTGCGGAAGTGGTGGCCCTCAGCTTGGAGAGGACAGGCTGGTCGGTTCAGGCGCGCGATATTCTCGTCGCGGAGGAGGGCGAGATGATCCAGTTGTATTAGGTGTCTCCAGCCCTCGTCAAGGCCATGGCTGAGGAAAGGGCCCTTCGGGCGTCGGGCCCCAAAGGTTTCGACGTCAGGGGGCCCGCGGCCTCGTGGTGCACCCCGCTTTATTTGGAAGGCCCTTAACCCCTTCCTGCGCCAGGTCCCGGAGGCGAAAGGATGGGCGAGGGGGCGCCAGGGGTCCCTGAGGTCGCTTATCTCGGGGGCCAATTGGCCCCAATGCAGGCTCTTCAAGCACGGCCCAGCGGAGTCTGGGAGCTGCCTGCGGCGCGGAGACCCCCGCGGGCCGTTGTGGCACAGGGCCTACGAGTGCCCAGCATTGAGCGCGCAGCGTCGGGAAGGTGTCTCGGTGTTCTTGCTGCGGAGGGGGCTTCGACGAGGGCGAGCGTTTCGCTCGCGGCCTCTTCCCGAACCCAGCGGTCTTGGTCGAGGTCCCCGACGGGGCCCGAGGTCGCCATCCTTTGGCACGACAGGCCCGCGCTGGGCCTTCTGAGCGGGCTCCTGTTTACAGACGGCTCGGCCCTTTGGGCTGACTGCCCGCGCCTGGCCCGAGCTGGCTGGGCCGCGGTGCAAGCGGGCAATTTCGGCCGCTTGCAGGCGGCGGCCCACGGGCCAGCTCCGAGGTCAGCGGCGCCCAGGCAGCAGGCTCGGGGCGCCGAAGACTTTGCACTGAACATGCTAACGCAAATGGCCCTGCCCCTTTTCACGCTGTATGTAGAGTGCGCTGGGACTGTCAGCACGGTCCGAGGGGGGGGGGGGGGGGGCGGGGCTGGATCGTCGAACGTTCGAGCGCATATTTGGGGCAAGTTTGTGGCCGCCTTTCAAAGCTCAGACTTTGAAGTGCACAAGGCCCGCGCCCACTGCGCGCGAGCGCAGGCGGATGCAGGTCAGACCACGGAGTGGGGGCGCCGAGCCAACGGCGCGGCGGACGAGTTCGCCATGCGTGAGGCTGCAGCCCACGGCGTCGACGCGAATTTTTACGAGGCGCGGCGCGGCCTGGCTGAGCGCGCGCGAGAGGCTGCCGTTTGGGCGGCAGAGGCGCACGTCGAGGCAGGAGACCGCGACCATGATAACCTCATGGATCAGCATGCTGCGGCCCGCGCGGCCAGAGCGCGACGCTGCGCCAGACGCTGCTCCTGATGCGGGGCCGCCCGAGGATGGAGTGGGCCTGGGGGCGGAGTCGGGAGCGGGGTCTGGGTTGGAGGAGTTCTATCGCGCTCGCTTCCGTTGGCGAGCGCACCTCTTGCTGCAGTGTGCCGTCCGAGGCACGAATCCGAAGCTGCGCTTCCTCCTGTTCTGCTGCCGCTGCGGGGCGGTATATGTCCTGATGGGAGAACGACGCCAGCTGTTTTGACGCGCCGCCATGGCCGCGTGGGGCGAGGCGCCCGGGACCAGCTGCGCGGGATTTCCAAGGGCGAGCTCCCCCATTACCGAGCGGGGGTGAAGCTTTTGCGCAGCGCGCAGCCGCGGACGCCCGGAACCGCGGCGCCTAGTCCGGCACCTTGGGGAGCTGCGCGATTCGTTGCGCCGCCAAGCGCGCAAACTCCGCTGGGCAGCCCCCAGCGCAGGACACGTCGCCCAGGAGCAGGGCCGCGTGGCACCGCGCCGGCAAACGCTCCTGCGAGTGGAGGCCGACCTCGCCGCCAGATGCCCCCCCGCCCGTGCCGCGTCGTCGCGGGGAGGTCCGGGGGCGGGGGGGTCGAGGCGAGGTCCTCCGAGCTTTGGGGCTGGAGGCTGGCGACCTGTTGAGCTGCGCGAGGGATGGGTCGCCGCGCGGTCCAGCGCGCGGCGGGGGCCCCCGAGGACCCCAGCTCCGACGAGCACTCCTGGGCTCGGGGGCTCGTTTTGTCGCGCCGCCTTCAGGGCCAACCCAAGCCAAGCCAAGCCTCCCCCTCTTCGTCCTCATCCGCATGCATCTCTCGTCTTGCTCGCTCGCTCCCCCCAATCTCATCCCGTCTGCCAATCCCTCCCTCCTCATCCTCCTCCTCCTCCTCTTCCCCCCCTCCCCCTCTTCCTCCTCGTTTTCCCCTCCTCCTCCTCCTCCTGCTGTTCCTGCTCCTCCTCCGCCTCCGCCTCCTCCTCCTCATTTTCCTCCTCCTCCTCGTCTTCCTCCTCCTCCTCCTCCTCGTCCTCGTCCTCCTCCTCGCCTTCCTCCTCCTCCTCCTCCTCCTCCTCCTCCTCCTCCTCATCCTCATCATCATCCTCATCCTCATCCTCATCCTCATCCTCATCCTCCTCATCCTCCCCGTCCTCCTTCTCCTCCTCCTCCTCCTCCTCCTCCTCCTCCTCCTCTCCTCCTCCTCCTCCTTCCTCCTCCTCCTCCTCCTCCTCCTCCTCCTTCCTCTCCTCCTCCTCCTCCTCCTCCTCCTCCTCCTCCTCCTCCTCCTCCTCCCCTTCTTCTTCCTCACTTTCCTCCTGCTGCTGCTCCTCGTCCTCATCAGCATTTGTCTCTCCTCCTGCTCGCTCGCTCCCCCCAATATCATCCCGTCCGCCAATCCTTCCTCTTCGTCGTCGTCGTCCTCCTCCTCCTCCTCCTCCTCCTCCTTCTCCTCCTCCTCGTCATCATCATTATCATCATCATCATCACCATCACCATCATCGGCATTATCTCCATCATCACCAGCAGCATCAGCACCGCCATCATCATCAGCATCATTATTATCATCATCGACGTCTTCTTCTTCATCATCATCAACAACATCATCATGACTTCATATCAGCATCATCATCAGCATCAGCATCATCATCATCATCAGCAGCAGCATCATAATCATCATGATCATCACCATCATCAGCAGCATCATCATCCTTATCCTCATCCTCATCCCTCCGCACCCGCTCCTCTTTTCTCCCCTCCCTCCTTCATCGTTCCTCCTCCTCCTCCTCCTCCTTCTCTTCCTCCTCCTCAGGGCTGAGGGCTGGGGGCTGAGGGCTGTGCTGCTTCGGGTGATCTCTAGCGAGGTAGACGGGTTAAACGTTGGCCGCTGGTGGCCGCCACAAGACCATAGGGGGACAGAGGGAAACCGACCACAAGCGAGGACGGCACGAGGAGGAGCAACATGAAGACGAGGGAGGAGCGGAGGAGGAGACGGAGCAGGAGGAGGAGGAGGAGGAGAAGGAGTAGAAGAAGGGAGAGCAGGAGACCATTTCTTTATTGCTTGGGGCATGACGGGCGTCAGGCCCCCCGCCCCCTCCCCCCCATGACGTAACGCTCCCCCCACCCCAGTGCGCTCCAGGCACTGCCGCCGTGCGTATCGAGATCCGCGTTGGTGTCCGCGTAGGAATCTGCATAGGAGTCTGGTCCGCAGTCGTCGACGTCGTCGTCGTCGTCGTCGTCGTCGCTCGTGGCTCGTGGCT